TGATTTTCTCTGCTCTTACTATGTATCTCAGCAGTGTCCAATATTTAGTATTTACAGCTTCTTCGACCAACATCGTCAGACGCTTCATGGCTTCTCCGGCGACTGGTGAGAGTGGAAAAGAAGTGATAAAAAAAAAAAAGGAACCGGCGACCCATCTGACCCAAAGATTTTCCCGGTTTGTACCGATTTTTTCCGGTCCATCCCGGTTGATTGCAAGACCGGTTCATAAGCTAAACCAGACCGGACTAGGAACCGGTTCACCGGTTTTCGGTCTGAACCGGCCGGTCCGGTCCGGTTTTTTGAACCTTGACTAGTACTATTGTAAATTCATAGTCCCTTCGTATGATATGAGAAAGTACTAGAATGCATTTGTTGGCGAGGATGAGCAAAAGCTCTTAATGATTTCATAATCCTATGGGATGGTGTGCTCATTGCAGGTACGCTTAATGAAATCACCTTTATGAATGTGAAGTGGGGCCACTTCCATGAGATCGTAGTGAAATCTCTAGAGCATTCATTAAGAACCGAGCACGCACATGGCCGTTATAACACGCAAAACCATCATTAACAGCAGAAATTGTGGGGGTATAATTTGACTCTTAATGCCTCTAGTACACACTCAAGGGTTGTTGGTTCATAGAAGCAAGCTTCACTAACATATCTGTGTACTAAGTGTTATTGGTCTAGGTCTGGTTCATAGTCCGAAAGAGACCAGATTCGAAATGTTTATACCCATGTGTGTAACTCAGATGATAATGCTCCTTTTGACACATGTGGGGGATTGTTGGAGTTTTAGTGTGTGAGTATGAAGTCTCATATTATTCAAGATTGAAAAAACCTTAGTGTTTACTACGATGTGAGCTTGAGCTAAAATGGATGAGAAGAGGAGTCATTAGAACTGACTGTTAGAGATGACCATTGAAGCATTTATATGTCTTAATTAGTCGGTTTTATTCTTTCATAAACCATATTCAATGGCGTTAAAATATTTTAATTCATCTTAATTAATTATTTTAAAAACTGTCCTTTTATTTGTCATTAAAACCATAATTAATCACCATTATGACAGCACAATGGTCACATATTATCTGCCTATAAAAGACAATGTATGGTGCATGGTTAGAGGGGTCAAGTTCTATCCCCGAGCTCTCCTCCTCTCTCTTTTCTCTTGAGTTTTAAATTTTTGCTGTTCTGTCGCCTTGCTTCAAACAAGAAGGGTTCGTTTAATCTTGGAGAGTGCTGCCTTTTATTCTAATTTGTGTGGCGGAATAACTCTTAAGGACAGTGTCTTTGGACACAACTCGAACCATATTTTTTATTATTTTTGCAGGTGTTGCCAACAGGCTGTCCCAACTTATAGCATTCATATATGGTGGTGCTCATAAAGTATTAAATAAACGTTGTTATGATCGTTTGTTATGGCCAAAAATAATATAACAATGGATGCATCACAAATAAGAGAGATCTCTCGTTGGAACCTTATATATATGACAATTTTTTCCATATAATGGGAGATTGAAATAGAGGTGGAAATTCCATATGAAACCCTAATGAAATGTGATCTATCTAAGGAACTATAGCTTGTGAGAATTAACTAATTATTAAATTAAAATCACGAGCATCTGTCGTTTGGCCCGGCCATTTTAGCGAACACCAAATAGAGTTATATAGATGAATGCGAGAAGCATATAGTCCATCCTTTTATATGTGAGGAGCTTTGGGTTACCGGGGTTTGATTCTTTGGGTGAAGTTGAGCTGGGTTTTGAAGATATGAGGACATCGAAGGTTCATATTTTTGGTCCTTCCTCCTCCCATCCTTCCTTCTCTCTTAGCTTGCGTTAGTATGTATTCAAAATTTGTGTATCTTTGAGACTTGGTCATGAACTTGAAAGGCTAAACTCTTGATTCTGGGATTACATTTTGAATCATCTTGTCTTTTATATTTAATCAGAAGCATTCCAAGTTCAAGTGGGCAACGTCATGGTACGTCATCCATTCATTTTTAGCCACGCCTATCCGAATAACCATTTACAGGGTGACGGAGGTGACTTTCACTGCAAGACAGGAAATCTAATACAGCAAGATCATGTCAATATGAAATAAACACTTCCTTGCTCTAAATTCCGACTGCTGAAATATCTAATAATCTTTTGTCAGCCTAAGGTCATAGGGATAAAGTCCTGAACATGGTCCAGGAAGCACACCGATATGCAATGCAGATTTATTTTTTCTCAAGTCAAATATTGAGGGTTGAATGTATATATACTTATATCATACTACTTTCTGTCTTAAATATAATAGCTAGAGCTGTTCTATTTAGGATTGGAGGTAGTGTATTTATCATTTTTTAAGCCCCAACACTTTATCAAACAATAAATTTCCCTTCCTTTTCATGGTTAAACCAAACATATAGTATGAACCTATGAAAGAGATTTTTACGCAAGTCTCTTTCCTCTCTTCTTTTTCTTATAAATGAACCTTTCATGTTGAACATGACTTTTTATGCAATTCGTGTGACATTTTCGAATGGAGAATTGAAACTAGACACTTTCCGTCTATAGATGCACCTTTTAAGAAGTCTATCTGTTTGTGTAACATTTCTTCAACTGATTTAATTGTTGTGCAACGTATTTCTTCAACTTATTTAATTGTATGCCAAATATTTCTTCAATTGAATTAATTGACCTTCATATGGTTTCTTATTGGACGATGTTGCCTTGGGAGAAATCTTCTATAAATTCCATTTTTCGTGATATCCTCGGGGAGTTTAATTTTAGTTCCGATTTATTAAAATTTAAAAGGAACCTTAATCTAAACACAACATGTATAACATTTTTTATTAAAAATCTTTTTACACATATAATACGATTTTTTTTTTATGAAAAAACTTACGTTAGGTTTATTATATCTATTATGTCAAGTTTTCTAACCACACGTTGCCATATGTCCTTTTTTTGTTTTTATGTGATTTATAATTAAATGCTATTGAATTCTAATATTTTAAAAACATGATAAATGATTATGTGTGATTAGAAAACTTGACACAATATCTCAAAAAGTATTTTATTTCTTTCTTACGTTTTTTGTAAGGTCTCATTTCATTATTGTATTTTTTTTATTGCGATATAATTTTTTATTTTATAAGAATAAAAATATATATTAATTTAATTACAACTAACTGATTTAATCATAGAATCTCAAACGAGCATGTCAATTTGCGCAATGACAAGTATGGTTTAACTAACATATCATAAGCCATATACAGGGGAAATTTTTAGTTCATTTGTAAGGTATTTAATAATTTTTTTAAAAATTTTATTCTTAATTCTCATTAGAAAATAAGAAAGACAAGTAAGCATAGTTTGCAAATGCATATAGGGAACAAACTTTAATAAAAATAAATTTAATTTTTTTATTAATTTAATGCATTTTTAATATGTGAGAATTAGTTACAAATGGCTTATAATAAGAACAAGACTGATAGCTTATGCACAAGGCCAACCCTTTAAATTTATACCCCCTAAATCATATTACCTAGTTTTTAATATAAGAGTTATTTAATTAGTTTGAGTAGCTTAAAGAAGCTAGTTAAGTTAGTAATTTATAAAAAATATAAATTAATTTTTTAAAAGTATCTTTTTAATCATAACTAATTCTTAGATTAAAACTCTCTTAATATTTGTAATTAGTAAGGATACTTTAGAAAATAAATTATAATTAAATTTTGACAAATAAAGTGGATTGAAATATTATATTTAGAACTAAATCAATTCACAAACTAACTCTTATTAAAAATAATAGGTAGGCGGCTATTAGCTTAACTCTATGTTTGGTATGAGAGAATTAATGGAGGGGAAAGAGAGGGAGAAAAAATTTTCATGAGTTTGATTTTAAAAATTGGACAAGTGGGTTTATAAAAGTTAAAAAAAAAAGATATAAAATAAAAAATAATAAAAACTAATTAAAAGCTTTTAATTCTACTGTGACTTTTAATCTATTAACAGAGAATTTTTTTTTTGAGCAAACAGAGAAATCCATTAATAGTGTGTGTTTGAGAGAGAAGAATATTGCTTCAAAAGTAACATTAATCATTTTCTTTAAAATTGTGCGACATAGATAATTTTATGGTGTGAAGAAGAGCACAAGGCAAAATAGTAGCACAATATTAGCATGTTATGGGAGATGTTTAAAGCACGCGTTTATTATTCACCAAAAGGGGCGCACATTTACTAACATGCCTACTTCTACACGCCTTTTTTCATTTAATATTTCAACCATTGCCATCCTGGGGTAAGATTTTATTTTTCTTCCTTCTTTTTCTTTATTTTCTTTTCTAGGAAGGTCTCACATATAAACAGTTAAAATAGAGTATTTTATTTGATCCTAAATATCAAAATTAACAAATTCAGAAGTTTGCTTTGGTATTAAATTTAAGACTTAGTTCATTTTGTTTTCGAGATATATAATACTTTTTAAAACTATGCCCACTGATTACATATATTAAAGAGAAGTTTTCATATGAAATAATTTTCATTGAAAATTATTAAATTATTAAGGAGTTATCTTAGGAAAACAAACATGTAGTAATTTTTTAATAAATAAATAACTCAAGTGATTTTCTTAATTTATATAAATTAGATGTTTAGTCCTTATATTGAGCATGCAAAGGAACAAGGAATGGAATTATAAAATGAACTATTTTCTGTTATCGACCATCTTGATTTGATTTGGATAATTCATATTTAATTTTTATTTTTTTAAAAAATAATTATTTCAATGAGTATAGAAACTAAAATAAAGATAATTTCTTAACTATCATTTTTAAGAAACAATTTTTTATTTAAAAATAAAAAAACTTAAATCTACACCATCCAAATTGAATTTGAAAATCATGAGTTTGGGGGGCGGATCAGCACTTAAACTCATTATAAAATGCAAACACAAGGCAACCCCAATTTCTTGGATTAAGTCTCTTCCGTCTCCAAAGCAACCATTCCAAGATGATTCCATCAATATCAGCGTTTCCTGCTATCCTCTTTCTCATATTCATATTCGTTTTATCCACTTCCATGCTCTTTGCAAAAGGACAACGAGATGATCGAAAACGACCACCAGGCCCAATGTCCCTCCCAATCATCGGCAACCTACACATGCTGCTGGGAGAACTGCCCCATCGCAGCCTCCAATCGCTAGCCCAAAAGTATGGTCCCATAATGTCGTTAAAGTTGGGACAAGTTCCTGCGATTGTCGTTTCGTCCGCTGAAGCGGCGGAGCTATTCCTCAAGACTCACGACACCGTTTTTGCATCCCGACCCAAAATACAAGCGGTGGATCCACTTTCTAGAGGAACCAGGGGACTAGCTTTTGCAGAGTATGGTTCGTATTGGAGACATGTAAGGAAAGTGTGCACCCTCCATCTTCTAAGCGCGTCAAGAGTGAAGATGTTAGCTCCTTTGAGAAGTGAGGAAGTAGGGTTGATGGTGAAGTCATTGGAGAGTGTTGCGGCGGCGCGCGAGGTCGTCAATCTCAGTGAGGTGGTCGGGGACCTCATAGAGAATATAATTAACAGAATGATCCTGGGATGTGCTAAGGATGATAGGTTTAACTTAAAAGGGCTTGTTGAGGAGGCACTGAGCTTGGCGGGACAGTTTAATCTGGTTGATTATGTCCCGTGGCTAGGTATACTTGACCTCCAGGTATATAATATCTCGCTTGTTGCTTGTGTCTTTTAGTTGGTCTTACATTTCTCATAATTTCCTCTTGCCTTACTTTTCTCTACATTCAAACTAAGGAATAAAAAGGCCTGTTTAAGGTTAAAGATTTGCCTACATGAAAAATAACATCAAGGATAATGGCACCCAATTTTCTTCTTAATGCTAGCAGGCGTGGGATATTTGCGAAGGACATCTTACTTCAACTTACATTGTTAACTTTCATTGATGACTTATTAACTTAAAGAATTTGCTTTAATTTTGTGCTAGTAGTCGATCATTTTAAGAGCATGATAATTGGATTTCCTTCCATTTTTCTTTGACAACAAATAGTTTCTTCGATACCCCTCTAACGTTATACAGATAAAGCGGCGTGTTTATGGATAACAGCTGGCGAAAACATTGATATATAGATGTGTGTGTGTGTGTGTCTGTGTGTGAAACTCTGGATCTAATGACCCATTTTGACTAATGTATGACAGGGTTTGACACGAAAATTAAAGAGAAATATTATGGCACTTGACGATGTGTTGGAGAAAATAGTCAGAGAGCACGAACAAGCTAGAAGAGAACAAAATGGCCAGAATCACGTCGACTTCGTACACATAATGCTTTCCTTGATACATCAACCGACGGATTTGTATGACGACCAAAACAGTGTTATTGATAGAGACCACCTCAAGGCTATTTTAGCAGATATGATTTTTGCCGCAACTGACACTTCTGTCATTGTGGTTGACTGGGCTCTATCTGAACTCTTGAGGCATCCAAGAGTGATTAAAAATCTCCAAAGTGAGCTACAAAATGTGGTTGGAATGAACAGAATGGTGGATGAGGCTGATTTAGCAGAGTTAAGTTACCTAGATATGGTCATTAAGGAGACTCTTAGATTACATCCACCTGCTCCTCTACTTGTCCCTCGAGAAAGTATGAAGGATGTCACAGTTAATGGATATTACATAAGAAAAAGGTCCAGGATCATGATAAATGCATGGGCTATCGGACGAGATCCCAAGTTATGGTCCGATGATGCTTATATGTTCTATCCAGAAAGGTTCATTGATAACAATATAGATATTCATGGGCATAATTATCAATTTTTACCATTTGGTTCAGGTCGTAGAAGATGTCCTGGACTTCAAATGGGTATAACCACAGTTAAGTTAGTTGTAGCTCAATTGGTGCATTGCTTTAGTTGGGAGCTTCCTTGTGGCATGTGTCCAAGTGACTTGGATATGAATGAAAAGTTTGGCCTCACAGTCCCAAGAATGAAGCATTTGCACGCTGTTCCAACTTACAGATTAGCCACGGGCTATTCAAACTGATCAAGGTCTAGGGTTTTACGCTATGCCTTTAGTTATGCATCCAGTGTTCCTTCTCTGAAAATAAAGGCTCAGATTACAAGGGCTATCGTTTGAGGAATTATGTTGGTATTTTTATATTAGCAAGATTCTTCATACTTTGCCTTGGATCAGTTTTTTAGTTTAACTTGATGCGTTCTATTGTATATGTGTGTTGTTTTAATTTATGTAAGTCACATGAAGAATGCACTGTGCTTGTGTGTGTGTGTGTTGAAATTTATTTCAATAATGTCAAACATATATAGCTTAATGTGTAAGATTTTCTATGGTCTATATATAATTGTTTCTCTCCCCTTGTTTTTATTTTACCCAAGCAGTCAGAAATACACTGTATATATGTGTATATAAATTACCAACAAGAGTTGGTTTAATTAGTAAAAAATCGGCTCATAACCTATAAGACTGTGAATTTGAATTCCACCACCAATGTAAGGACCGCATTGGTGGGCGTCAAATATTTTTGTAAGTGCTTTCTGAGCTTCAAGATATACCTTGGTCTTGGTAAGCCTCCAAGACCCCTTATCTAAACTTTTAGTATACCAAATATGTATCTATAAAAACCATTATATGTATAAGTATATGGATTTTACAAATAGTATATTCCAAATAAAGATATTTCCTTCAAACGATTTAGTAATTTGTTATCAAGTATGATCAATTTGACACTTTAATTAGAGGCACAATTTCGGGTATTCCGGTGGAAGCAGAAATTTAAATCTAAATTTAAGAAACAAAACAAAGTTTAAATTAAAGAAGCCATAAATTTGATTTTTTTTAATCTTCCCTCAAAGAAAACTAGACAAAACAATAACTGATTTACCCAAACTACTTTGTTTTTTTTGTTCTTTCTTGGGCAAGCAACAATTCTTTATCATATGCTTATATTCGTTATCAGAATAGTGATTGTTAATGTCGCATGATTTTACATAAACATATAATGTCTTAACTTGTGACGGTCCGTGCATTTGCCGTGCCAATACACACATATTATCTTATAACCCTAATGTTTGATAGTACTTTTAAAAGTTAATTCATAAGATTCTATCGGTGAAGATTATTATTCTTATGAGGGGATGGTTCTAATTAAGCTCTGATTTTATCATTTGGTGATGATGTGTAGCGCCCAATAATTAAATTACTCAATTATATTGCCTTAGTGATCTGATCATGGCAATGGAGCTTCATGGATGGTAATTGACGCAAGCTCCATGGAAGTTTCCATCTTTCTTGAGCACCAAGTGGATTTTGGACACCAAGAATTTAATTTATCCTTGGGCAAGAAGTAGAGGACTATGTCCATGGAAGAGCTTCCTTCAATTCAACAGCAATCTGGTCAAAAAATTACTGGGAACAAAGAAGATGACGATGCTTGAATATAATATATGTAGTGTGAACTCATCAAATGTCCATATCCATTTATCGGGAGACAAAAGCTCATAATTTTATATTATACGAAAGAGGTTGATGAGTTTGGATTCTCTTTCTCGAGGGTTTGACACTTTTTATTTTATTTTTTAGGTCTTTGTTTGTTTCTATCTATTTACGTATTATCTTGCAGATCACGTCATAGGAACAGGATCCTACCTATTTCACATATATATTAGCATTCAATCCGCCACTATCCAGCATAAGCACAAAATTTATTCCCTCTTTGATCGGTTTCCGAAGCAAAACAACCAGACATGTTTCCTTCAACACTAGCGATTCCTGCGATCCTTTTGTTGACATTGATATTGGTCCTATCCACTAATATCCTCTTCCCAAAACGACACAAAGATGGTCAGAACCAACCACAGGGGCCACCGCCCCTCCCAATCATTGGTAACCTCCACATGTTGGGTAAACGACCACACCGTAGCCTTCAATCGCTGGCCCAAAAATATGGTCCCATCATGTCGTTGAAGTTGGGACAAGTTCCTGCGATTGTCGTTTCGTCCCCTGAAGCTGCCGTTCAATTCCTCAAGACTCATGACACTGTTTTTGCGACCCGACCCAAAATACTGGCGGCGGATCCGTTTTCTAAAGGAGCCAACAAGGGGGTGGTGTTTGCCGAGTATGGTCCGTACTGGAGACATGTGAGGAAACTGTGCACCATTCACCTTCTAAGCGCATCAAGAGTGGAGATGTTTGCACCTTTGAGAAAGGAGGAGGTGGGAGTGACGGTGAAGTCCCTAGAGAGAGCCGCGGCGGCGCGTGAGGTTGTTGATATTAGTGAGATGGTGGGGGAACTTATAGAGAACATAATTTATCGGATGGTCCTGGGACGCGCCAAGGACGATAGGTTTAACCTAAAAGGGCTGATTAAGGAGGCAATAAGCTTGCTGGGAGCATTTAATCTCGCTGATTATCTCCCTTGGCTCGGTATATTTGATCTCCAGGTATGTTATGTGCCTATAATCTTTTCGCCTTGAGCATTGATTGTTTTTAAATATTTTTCCTTGCGTTTCTAGATAGAAATTAAACATATATAGTATGGACTTTAAAAAAATACATATTTAATTGGCGTTTATCAGATTTGGATGGTCTAAATTTAAAATTTTTCATTAATTATTTTAAATAAAAATATTTTTGAAAAATGATAATTAACATATTATCTTTATTTTAGATTCTATACCTATTAAAATAATTATTTTAAAAATTAAAATAAAAAGAAAATGAGGTCTGGACTGTCCAGATCATATCTAGACTTTCCAGATTGGTGTTATACTTCATATATAGTGAGCTATTTAATTGATGTTGCCAGGGCTTGACACGAAAGTTAAAGAGAAACAACAAGGCGCTCGAGGATGTGTTGGACAAGATAGTGATGGAGCATGAAAACACTTCAAAAGAACAAAATTTACAACACCATAACGACTTCATACACATATTGCTTTCCTTGATGCACCAACCTGTGGATCTACAGGACGACCAGAACCATGTGATAGATAAAGCCAACATCAAGGCTATTCTATCAGATATGGTTGGAGCGGCAACTGACACTTCTATTGTTGTAATTGAGTGGGCTTTATCCGAACTTTTGAGGCATCCAAGAGTGATGAAAAATCTTCAAAATGAGCTACAAAACGTTGTTGGAATGACGAGAATGGTGGAGGAGTCTGATTTAGCAAAGTTAAGTTATTTAGATATGGTAATCAAAGAGACTCTTAGACTATATCCAGTTGCACCTTTACTTGTCCCTCGAGAGAGTATGGAGGATATTACAATCAACGGGTGCCATATAAGGAAAAAGACAAGGGTAATTGTAAATGTGTGGGCCATAGGACGTGATCCTAAGGTTTGGTCTGAAAACGCGCATATGTTCCATCCTGAGAGATTTGTTGACAGCAATATTGACGTTCGAGGACATGATTTTCAACTGTTACCATTTGGCTCAGGTCGCAGAGGTTGTCCTGGCATGAACTTGGGTATGACTAGTGTTAAATTTGTTTTAGCTCAATTGGTTCATTGCTTTTCTTGGGAACTTCCTTATGGTATGTCTCCCAGTGACTTGGACATGAATGAAGAGTTTGGTCTGTCAATTCCAAGAGCCAAGCATTTGCTAGCAGTTCCAACTTATCGTTTACATATGTAAATAGGGTAAGAAGCCTTTTTTGAAGTTATTTTAGCGTGTGTGCAAAGTCTATTGTTCCATGTACGTGTAAGAGACTCTGTGTGTGTGTGTGTGTGAGACACAGAGAGAGAGAGAGAGAGAGAGAGAGAGAGAGACTGTTATACTATTTTACTTTAATTCAATAATGTAATTTAGAGTCCTACCATTTATACTGGAATTAGAAGTTCGTGTTTTAAATTGAATAAATTCACTCTTATTAGTTGTTAATGTTAACTCACTTGGATCAATACAAAGAGGCACATCTCTTTTTTTGGTTTGGAGTGAAAGGCACAACTCATTTTTAATACTCTTCGATGTTTCCGATGACGGTACTCTGAAGGCGAATTGCTGATACGAGTTATGTTTATTTCTCTTCCATGGACGTTTTCAAATAAAAGGGATTTTTCCTTTGGCCAGCCAACAAATCAAATGAATCTATATATTTCACAAATAAAAGCAGACTAGCTACCGCTTGGTGTGTGGTTGAGACAATTTCTGCAATTCCGTGCACCAAAAATCATTTAGTTGAGTATGAAATTATTATTATATATTAAAACATCTATTATTTAATACTACCTCTGGTCCTATTTATAAGATTTTATTTGTAGACTATAAACGAGACCTTATAATTAGGATCGGATATATTATCAATTTTGTAACCTAGCATCTATGTCTCAGGAGGGGTATTTTGATCCAACACATGACTTAATCATAAAATAACGAATGGGTAGTGGATGGAAATAAAATGTTAAAAATAAAAGGAATGTTCGTGCTTTATAGCTATTGATTCCAGGGGAAGTTCTTATGGCTTTTAAAATCGAAGAAAATCATCTATAATTAAAATAATATACTCGTCTGTTTTAAATTTTAATATTTCTATTTAACTTTACCTTTCATATACTATCCCGTGCATTGCGTGAGATATAAATCTAGTGTGTATATATTCATAACATTGCTGTGAGAAATAGGAGGGTCATTTTTGTAATTTTGGGTTAATTAGTTTAAGCCCAAATTGCTTTAGATTTGATTACGTTTCTGGATCTTCTTGACTTTCTTGTATTGTTTGTTGTTTCTGCTGGGCTCTATAAAAGGGGTCCAGTGTTGGCTTATTCTCTTAAGCCCATTTTTGATGTAAATATCCGGTTATGAGATTAATGGAAATAGCCCGTTTCTATGCGTAGTGTGTGAGGGTTTTTGGCAGGGCCTAATGTTTCAACATGGTATCTAGAGCCGAAGGTTTTCCTTCATCCGAATTCTAAGCCCAAAGACCGAACCCGCTTTGTCGTCTTCGCAGTAGAGAAACCCTAATGGCAGAAACAAAGACTGCCACTGATAATTTGCCATTTTCTCATCCACTTTTCTTGCACCCATT